CTTTCAAACAAATTGTTTCTTACTGTTCTCATTTATCACAAAATTACCTCAAATTCTGAACTTCAAACAGGTGATAATCAAAAAAGCCTTTATGCTTTAAATTACAGAATAAAACACATTTGAAAAGCTATATTTACACCTCAAGTCTAAAATGTAATTCTTTTTGAGGATATAATATACGACTATGTTTCAGGCTGCATTTTATCCCTATTGCCTGACTGCAAGTGTAAAGAGGCAATTTACTATCGAATTGTAATTATAGAAATATTTTCTCAGGAGAATACTCCCTCTGCTCATAGCATACTGTAGTCTCTTGCCAACCTGTGTGTCATCGGATAACTGCTAACTGTTGGAGCTGCCAGGTCCCAAATGAGGGGTGTCTGGTGGCTGCCTAAGGGGGTGCAGTGAGGTCAAGCAGCAGTGTGCAAACAGGATCTGGAAAGCCTTTTTGAATGAAAGTGTGTGCCACCCTTCCAACTGATTAGTTAGACATGTTTCATTCTTATTGATTGCCAAATGAAATTACAGGTAGGTATTGATGTGGACACTGTGTACTCAGCAGCCCTTATTCAGAGTGGATTACCAGCCTTATACATTATTACTGACTGTTTTACAGTCAGCCAGCATCGTATTGATGATCTGTCATAATATTATTATCGTATTGGTATAAATGGTATCTAGTTATTACTGTATCATTTCTTATTATCATTATTAATAATATTACCTTCATCAACATCAACATGATAAAAGTGGAACTAATGTATGTAAAACTGTTTCTATTTTTTTTAGATCTTAGAACAAACATGACAAATACAGGAATGGAATAATATTGAGGTGGGTTGTAAATTGAAAATTATATCATTTCATCATATATTTCAACAGAAAAACACCAAAAAAAAAAAAAATATATTTCAACAGAAAAACACCAAAAAAAAAAAAAAAAAAAAACAAAAAAAACGGACTGGCCAGATTGCCCAAAAGCAATGCAATGTTACTTTCACAGGGCTCTCCTGGCAACACCTACAGTACAATACATAAAAAAAATTTGATATGTCGTATCTCAATCTCAACTCCAGACTTGTAAAATATAATGCATACTACTGAACATTGTAACTACATCCATCTTTCAATTGCCTAACATTCACCTTAATTTTTATTATTATTATTAACTTTTATTTCCTAACTTTCATTCAGTTTTTAATTGCTTACTATAACTCCTACATGTGATTTACCCTATCCAAATCCACTTACTGTATTTCATGGAGTCAGCATATCATGCCTTACTCAAGGTCACGGAGCATCATGTGACTGGAATGGAATCTCCGAGACAACTTAGGAATGTGACACATTAAGTAACTGCCACAATTTGAATCTAATAGTAAGCCAATATTAATGAAATGCCTGGGGTACATATTTCCTATTTTACAGTACAGCTATGCAAATATCCAAAAGTAACATGATAGAATATTAATGAATGGAGGTCGCAATTTTTGTCCAGGATATATTAAAAATCAGATTGAGACTCGTATTGTTTACCCAAGTAGAGTTGGCTCATCAAACTCAGTCCACTTAGCGGCACTCAATGATCTAAACTGTAATTACTGGTATTGTAAGCTACTGTACAGTGCTCAAGATCCTTACATTCAAATTTCAAGTGTCTGGGTTCGAATCCCCTGGTCGATTAAAATATTATTATAAAACGAAGTACATTTACGAAAAAAGTTTAAAAAAAAAATTTGTTGGACACAGGGAACATTTAAGTTTTGATTTGATGTGTTACTGAATCTCCTGGGATTTGCCAGGATAGGCACAATTTTCAAGCAAAATTATTTTTTGAGATGGGATAACCATCTGTGATGCGAGTGCAAAATCTGATATTACTATACAATATTTGAAATCCATATCTGTTGCTGTGAAATACTGTAAGTAGATGTTCCTGAGGTTTACTGATTACTGAATTGATTCCGAAGCATTGATTGAATGAGTAGTGATCCACCGTAATTACATTACTAGTAGGTCCAATCTAATATCGTCATGGCTTCGATGTAACCATGACAGGGTCAATAATATCTCCTTGACATCGCCTATGATACTGTAAAGTAATAATGCACTATCTATGATACAGAATACTCAGTGTTGAATTATTATAAGTATATTATAATAATTAAGTATATTAATTATACAGGGAAAAAATTTGCAGAAATATAAATATATACCAAGTCAGTAGCTCAGGATAAACAAAAAGGAAATAAGTTTGATTGAGAGCCTTACAGGATTGAACCCACACCCTTGAGGTTTACATAACTTATAGCACCCTGACTAATTACTACATAGCAGCTCAGATTTTGTAATTTTTTTAACAAAATTACTAAATGAGGAAAAAAGGTATACAATGTATTCTAGAAATAACAAGATTTTAAAAGGCAAACAGTTATTGTTAACCTCAACAGCCTACAGTATACAATACCAATCCTATTCAGGTGTTGGGTGCAATTATGACTCATAATTGGTGTCTCACCACAAATCATGGACAATGGCTAAAAAGCAATTATCACAACCTGGTGATAAGAACATTTATTAGGATTTCAATTTATGTCAATTATTTAAAATATAAATTTATGTTCTTCTTCATCTCTACCATGTTACCACTGTATCTTTGTGGGGAGGGACAGATTTAGCGATCTGCACAATAAAAATAAAGTAAAAATGATAAGATAAAATTTTGTTTTGTTTAACTTCAGGTCAGTATTGTGGAAAGATTACCACATCCTTTAATAATACAGGAAGAAAACAAATTTAGCAATGCAGAGCACTAAAGAGACTTACTTGGTTTGTAGTACACAAAAATAAAAAATTATTTAAAAAAACTATAGGATGTTTTGTCTAGACAAAATACATTAAATTTCACATATTGAAACATAATACTACAGACATGATCACCTTAATTACGCCTTTCATTAAGGCGGTGAATAGCATCTTTTTTTATACAGGATTAGCATAAAATTGCACTTAAAATGTCAAATACATGGTGGATACATTCTTATTAATAGTTTACAGTAGGAGACATGTACAGTATCTATCCCAACTCAATTAAATCTTTAAATTTATTTTAATTATTTCTATTAACTTTAAAAGTGATTTTGCTAATGGCATAATAATGATAATGCACAACTGACACCCAAAGAAATCCTAATCATACTTTAGCATTGATAATAGGATGGTCTCAGGGACTTTATTTATCATCCTACGGAAATAAAATTGACAGTTGTTGGCCTGTAAAACTTTACCCCATTAAAGGTCAAATAAGACTTTTAATGTTAATGCTTACGATAATGTTAAGATATGTATTGTATTATAATTTTTCCAATAGGCAATTTGCATTGAATGCTAATTTAACAATGATGCATTTATAAAGCATGTTATTCTTCAAAAAGACAATCAATTAAGTACAAATAGTATGAATTAACCAGGCCATTTTACTCAATGTTTCGCTTTCATTTACGCATCATCATTCCTGATGGCCTTGTCAATTTTTGGAGAGACAATCAATTAAATCATCTAAGGACAGGGATGAGGAAGGTAACAAGATAAAGAAGAGATAGGATGGGATGAGCGAGATGAAATGAAGAAAGTAGGAAAAGAAACAACACAGGAGATAAGAGAAAGAAAATGAGGCAGCAAGGAGATACTGTAGTAGGATGAGGATATAACAATACGCTAGTATACTGTACAGTAGGTACTGTATATAAGACAGAAAGAAATGGTATAAGGCAGGGGTGGGCATAAAAATCGGTTGGAGGGCCAAAGTGAATTTTTGATTTAACACTGAGGGACGAACCCAAACTTTGATGTTTACTGTACAGTGTGCTTCCAAAATCTTCCTGCACTGCTTTTATACCACTTTATTCTCAGTTTTAACATTACTTTTTACAGATGATCAGTGTCGGGCTGTAAAAAATGTTTGGCTGGCTGCACAAATAGAGTTTGTATTTCATCATCGCGGGCTGCAAAAAAATCACTGTCAGGCAGCACTTTGCCCACCTGTGGTATAAGGAAAGGGAATAAAACGAGGGGATGAGATGTTGTGAACGGGAAAGGCATATGTAAGGGGATGAGGAATGACAGGATGAAAGGGATGAGGAAGTGATGAGAAGAAAAGCATAAACACATTGAGTTGAATGAGGAAAATAAGATGAAGATGATGCAGAGGGAAAGATAATGAAAAAATGGTAAGAGGAAATACAGGTAGGTTGAGCAAGATAAGGAGAGGAGCAGGATGAGACTTCCGTCTTCACCCCATTTCATACTGTTTCACCGTAAATTCTTGCCATCTACTGTATCTTTTGACAGCTTTTTCCAAACAGTAAATCACACCACTCAATACCAGAAATAAAAATCAGCTTAGCATTAATTTTAAAAGAACTAAAACAGGCCAACAATGTATAAAGGTGTAAACATATGGAATAACCTCTCACAGCTATTAAAATCTCAAAACTACATTTCTTCATTCAAAAGACAGCGCCATAATCAACTCAACAATAAATATTTGTTAATTCTTCTTTTGAAATTTTTTCATTTTTTAACCCTGAAACCTTTTGTAGAAATACCGGGATGGTGTCCGGCGGGATATAGTTTTACAACCTATAGTTAAGTAAGTTAAGTCGGCCCTTCTGTTTTGTACGGGGATTCATATGTTAAAGCTCTGCTTGTTTTGAATGCCCCTTTCCATTTCTTACTGAAGATTTGAATTGATTTGGAATAAAGTTTACTTGCTTACTGTATTTACTTACTCAGAAGAGAAGGAATGAGAAGAACAATAAATGGAATGAGGATGGGAACAGTATAGAATGGGATGCGAAGAAGGTATGAGATTAGAGGTATGATAGCAAAGGGAGGGAATGATGCGATGGAATAGTATGAAAGATGAAGAAAAGATGGTCTGAGATCAGAAGGGAATGAAAAAAAATATGAAGATACTATGAAAAATCAGGAATACAAACCTGTTTTTCATCCATGGAACTGCGGCACTGTTCCTTCAATGTAATTAATTTACTACTTTCATCTTTACGTAACGCCCTTTCCTTTTTCAATTCTGGGCTCCAAAATGTTTTGATACTATTCATGCTAGAGCTCAATTTTGCTTCCTTTGTTTCTAAATCCTGCTTCAGAATAGCATTTTCCCGCTGCATCTCTCTCAATTGTGCCTGAAGATCCAACAGCATGGAATCTCGCACTTGGCGAAGCTCTTCTCCAGGCGGATAAAAAGCCATATTTGTAGGGATGTCCTGGCCTTGATCCACAACAGATGATGATGATACAAATCCCTGACTTGAACCGAAACTACTGGAACGACTGTTTGACGGTGAGTTTTTAGGGGACATAGAGTTTGAACGGCCACTTGAATTTGGAGATGATCGACCACCAGTTGTCAAATTACTTGGCACTGCACTGACTATTCCTTCTGCAATGTAAACAGGTCCAGCATTATATGCAGCATTCAAAGACTGAATATTTTCCATAGGCAATGATGTACTAAAGTCAGTTCTTCCATGCGACTGGCTTCTAGCAGTGCGTGGAGGCGAAGGTGATGATGATGCTCCTCCGGAAGCAGAGGCATTCACCTGCTGTTGACGGCGCTCCCCGACACCCGTTTGCTTTGCTTTCAAGTTTCTGCTGGGCGAGTGCCTTGGACTATGCATTGGTGGATAATATTATACTCAATCAAACAGACTTATTTGCAAGACAAAAGATAATCAGTATTAATATTTTAAGCTATTTACCCTTGCCTTTCATTGTTGAAAGACCTGCTTGTTCCCTGAAGCGCAAAACCGTGAAATTTATCGATGAAAGGCAGTGACCTCATCATCAAAAGCCAATCCCCTAAAAACATGGACGGTGATATTCTTGTTCCAGACAGCAAACAAATGTCCTTGTAGTGGCTGTTCTGAACGACTACACAGGATATGATTGGGTAACTCGCTTGTAAATTTGGTCATCTGTAGAGGGCGGATTTTTTAAACTTAACAAAAATTACAAACTTGCGAAGTACAGTAAAGCATTAAAGACTAATAAATCATTTTATTCATGTGTA